AGATGATGTATGCTTATTGTTCCTTCACTCAACATCCTGTATATCACCTTGGCTGACCTTTTCATTGTTCTGGGTGAACATATGGAACTAAAACGTGTGTGTGTGTGTGTGTGTGTGTGCAGGACATCAAAATAATGTAGATCAAATCTAGTTTCTCTGCTTTCGTTTTTTTTTTTGGTAACTTTGCATCTTTGGATAATCAGGATAATCCACTTAGCTGTCTTATAAGCAGAGGCACTATATGCTGAAATAATTAAAAAACAAAAAAACCTAATAAGAGAAAGCACTCTAATGTTTCTATGAGACATTTTTTTCATAGTGTGTGCACGCACACACACACACACACACACACACACACACACACACAATCACATATATACAAACAGGTGACAAATTAAAAGGAAAAAAATGACTGCTGTTAAGCTTTTATTTTGCTTGCATGGTTTGTATCCACATGTTTCTTTAGAGGGAAGTGTCACTTCTAATCAATACAAGATCACCTTTAATCCTATCATGAAACATTTTTATCCTGATGGGAGCGGTCTCTTCCAGGATGACCTCATCCCCATTCACAGAGCAGGAGGGATCACTGAATGCTTTAATAAGTATGAAGATTATATAAGTCATATGCTGTGGTCTTCAGTTACCAGATCTCAACCCACCTGAACACCTATGGGAGATTTTGAAGGTGTTAGACAGTTCTCTAGATAAGTAGAATAAGGTAAAATAATGTAGAAAAGACAAAGGAAAGACCAGACAAATCATAAGAGTTTTACAAAAATAAGTTTCACATAAAGATTCATTGATGGAATGGAACTGTCCTTAGACTGTGAGTTTTGAGTAAACATGTTTCCTTTGTCTTTTCTTAGTGATGCAGAACATTAAAGAACATTAAAGTTATTGTTCATGATATTTGCACTTACGCTACAGATGAAACGGACAGAGATTAATATAAATTAGTAGAGAGATTAGCACAAATTAAATAAAGCATTTTTTTTAAATGCTTTATTTAATTTGTACTAAATTTCACCTATTGCTATTTTTGTGGCAGTGAAGTACCCACTTACTGGTTCGTGTGAGAGTAAAGAATGCTGCAGTGAGGATGAGGATTAGGATGATGTTCCATATCTGTGTGTTTTCAACCAGGGTTAACTGTTTAATCACTGTTTGCCCTCAGTCATCATATCTGGAATTCCATTCTCACCCTGGCACGTCCTTTTGGGAGAGAGTTATTTTTAGCTACGCGTGTGTGTGTGTGAATCACAGAAGTATCACATCTTCACAAACTGCTGTGGTCTTAGGTCGTTTTAGAAGCGGATGCCATCAAGATGTCAAGACAGGCCTGACTGGAGGTGTTAAAGCCTCATTTTGCACTGAACTCATGGCAGCCATATACACTTATACACTGCTCATTGTGTGTGTGCATTTGTGTGTGTTGTGTTTATTTTCTGTATTTCTATGTTTATGTAAGTGCTGCTATTTTTTAAGGATGTTTGTACAAGTGGACATTTTCGTATGTAGGTGGATGTAGGGATACTCAAAAATGACTGCCTGTATCAGCAAATTTCCTGAGATTTCCATAGAGGTTAAACAGAGGACAGCAAAGGCAGAAGAGATCAACATTTAGCCTGAGAAGTCATTAGATCTCCTGAGCATACAAATCTGCCTCATTTAATGCCCACTAAATGTACACTCAGTCTGAGAGGATATCCATATGGCAAATCCAGACTCCGTGAAAAGTCACTTACCAGGCAATAAGAACATAATTATGAGTGTATAATAACAAAAAATAGTTGATTGTAGCAAAACCATTCCCTTAGGATCCCTTAGGTTCCTGAACTTGCAGATATGAATGCACAGCCATCAAAGGTTACTAGACTACAGAGAAATATCTTTACCTGAGGCAGGAGAAAGAACATTGCTTTGAGTTTCATTTGCATGTAAATCTATACGCTAAGCCTTCCAACCTGAAATGGGTTGACCTTCTGAATAGGACTAGATGCACATCACGGTAAATATACACAATCTTTCATCACACACTGGCTATATTTGTGTTTGTGATTTATGTCAGTATTACTAAATAAATGTACCCTTTAAATTCCCACACTGCGGTGTCGGCCTCTGAGCTTCAGGTATCTAAGCAGCTCTTTCACTAGAATGTGGCAGATCGTTCTTCTTTTTTCTTTTTTTGCTTGGGTAAGACTCTGCATAGCAAATGAGGAAAGTGAATGTTTTGTATCAGTGTTACCTTTGTGTGCTCTGACTACATTACACCAAGACACTCTATCTGGGACAGCATACACACATAAGCATGTGGTATAAAGGCGTTATGAAATAATAGATGCTTGAGAAATAGAAACTTGGCCTCATGGTTTCCATTAACCATTCCATTAGTATCTAGTGATTTTAATGGTTAAACCCATGGGTAACCCATTAGGCCAATTCCCATTAAGACATGTTTCAGCGAGGGTTTCATGTTAAGATTATGACTGAATTTTTGATTGGGTTTATGCATCATGTTGCAGCCAACCATCTTCAGAAAACCTAATCTTATGTTTTGATGTTTTACAAAGCACCTCCTATGTCATGATGCTCAACATCCAATCACCTGCGAGTTTACATCGTCTCTAGTAACAGGCTGATCAGCCAATACAGAAAGAACTTTTTTTTTCCTTTTCCTACCATTTGAGGATGCTCAGTGAGGGAGCATATTTGTACAGGACTTTAAATTCAATTTGAGCGCAGTGCACTTGGCATTATCAGTAAATGGAGTCCATAAAGAGGCTTTAGTGCCAGACCTGCTTGAGTGTGTGAAGGTGATGGATGCAGGAAGAGAAAGTAGGTGACCAAGATAGTTTAATATCTCTTTATACATTATTAACCTCCACTGCACAGATCTGCATGCCCTCTGTCAACATCACTCACAATCACACACACTCACATTAGGCTTTGGGAGTGCATGAAAAGCTGTATTCTAGATGAGTTTTTAGAGGCACAGGCACATGTCGCCTTTCACAGTACAGAACAGTCTTGCCTTTTTTGGTCTCTATTCACATGCATTAGTAATTTGCTGGGGATTCTCACATCACCATTTGAAAATTCAGCAAATGCATAGCCTAAAGTATATCATGCACTATCAAACATATTTTTGGTGTAGACTATTCATTTCTTTGATCAGTTTTCATAGCTAGTGAGCATAAGGTGTTCGATAGTCTCTGAAACATGAATCCTTCTGTCAAATATCCAATGCTATAGACTCCTGACCCACAGGCAGCAGAGGTGATCTGTATTTGTGTGAGAGGGACAGATAACAGGCGTGTGTCATGTTCAGCACTTGTTTAAACATCAGTGCATGTGAATGCAGAGCAGTTGTATGAGGTGGACAGAAGAGCTTGTTGAGTGAAGCCTTTCTTGTGTAGCTCCAAGAGCTCGATTTCTGTCAGTACAACACAGCGGCTCTTTCCGCCCTCCCGGAGAGTTTTTCCACCCAGTTTTCAACAGAATGCCTGTATATTGTATTCTGTACCAGTGTGTGCTGTTTATTACATACTATTCTTCATGCCAGAATTATCATTTGCTGCACACAACCATGTGACCTGTCATTTTCACAGTTACTGAGATCCAAAATGTTGATACATTTATTTTCAGTAACCATTTTATCCTGATTTGTGTTGCAGTAGATCCAGAGCCTATCCCAGGAACACTGGGCACGAGATAGAAATACACCCTGGATGTGAGGCCAGTTCATTGCAGCGCACTATGCACACAGAGTCACACACTCATTCACATCTAGGGGCAATTTAGAATAGTTAATCCTCCTACCAACATGTTTTTGAGAGGAAACTGTAGAACCTAGAGGAAAACCAACATGGACACAGGGAGAACATGTGAAACTCCACACTGACAGTAAAACAAGCTCACGATCAAGCCCTGGAGCTGTCGGGCAGCAAAACTAGCCCACAGTGTGTAATCTGTTTTTGGTTATAACCATAAATAATGTGATAAGCCTCCAGATAGCGGCTTTGCAAGCATGGCAAGCAGGCCATTTTGGGACAGGAGTGCAGTACACATAGCAACGTCAAAACTATCTGTTTCATGTCAGGTATTAAGCTGTCATATCTACTTAAGCATCAAAGCACTTTATGCAAACATTTAAGGAAAATAATAATATTTAATGAATTACACAATCATTTCCAGAAATACATGGAATAAACTACAGTGTATATACACCAAGTCTAGACAGAGTAGACAGCTCTATAATAAGGTTTACACACAGCCTGATGTATCCTATAATCACTGTTGCCTTTTTCACTATACTTTTCGATGCATACTTTGGAATTTGTTCGGGGAATATTTATATTGTTTATGTGTTGTACTGTATACTACATACTGCTTTGGGTGATGTATGCCATTTTGAACACAGATGATATTGCTGCATGGAAGATCTTTTCAACTCTTTCATATCGACTTGTCACCAGAAATTATTTCACTCCCTAAATGAAGACACCTGTGTCTAATTAACAAGTTACATAGCAGATGCTTCTCATTTGGGAATTAACTAGATTTATTGATGCAATGTGAAAGCCAGTTGTGGAGGCAAAAGCTGAATTGGTGCCCATAACAGCTGTATCTTAAAACTTATATGCAGTAGCATAGATAGAAGTGAGAAAGTTATAAAAACATACAGCCACCACCAAAAATGATGGCTATTTTACACAGTTTATTTTAAAGAGGCTTTATTTTAGTTGGAATTTACAATTTACAATTTAATCTGAATTTACAATTAACTACTGTATAATATGCACTATTTTACTCTACACTGAAAACCCTAACAAGTTGACTGTACTCAATTGATTGAGTAAACTTGTTCCCTCAATTTAATTGAGTAATGGGGTCTCCCAAAACTTGTGTATTTAAGTTCACTTAACTTGGCGCTAATGTAGACTGTACTTAAATAATTAAGTTCACTTTACTTGGTGTTCATATAGTGTACTTTATAGCTTACTGACCGTGACTTGAACCCGGGCCATGGCAGTGAGAGCACTGCATGATAGCCACTAGTCCACCAGGGAACCACCATACTGAAATAATTAAGTTCACTTAACTTTGTGTTCATTTCAAGCATACTTAAATACAGGGTGTCCCAAGAGTCTGCATACACAGGGGAAATTAACACTTTGTAGCAAAATGTAACTTTATTTACAAATCATCCTCTACATGATTGCCATTTCTTTGTAAACACACACACAGTCATCTCTCCCACTCAGATCATCTCTCCCTGTAGATGATCTCTAGAACTTCACGGCACTGGTACCAGCAACAGACCAGACGAAGAGGATCACCTTTTGCAATTATCTACCAATCAGTGCATTAGTTCTCATACTGCCAGGTAGAACTCCCTGCATGGCCAATCACATAAAAGAAAGACCAGAGTGAGCTATTTTAATGAATCATAATTTTGAGTTCATAACACTTCATATCTTAAGTTTATGTATTTTGTAGGTAAATAAGTTAAACGAACTTAGATTTTTGATTTATGGGTACAAAACCCAACATTTTAAGTAATGTTTAGTTGTGATTACTTGATTGTTTAAGTAAAGACAACATTAGGGTTTACAGATTATAGCTAAGGTTAACACTCCATTTACTTACTTACTAGTTAACAATATTATGTTATGAATTTTTAGATGTACATTTAATAAAACGTGTAAGTGGAGTAAATTACACACATACCAAGACTAGGCAGCGCTAGAATAAAGCCTACTATGTTTCCTGCTGCCAAGATACTACAATCTATTTCTGAAAAGATTGCCCTCTTTCTCCTTTGGGTTTTCTTTAGAAAATGTGCAGCCCTATTAAAAGTCTCTGGAGGGTGCCTTAGTCAATACATTTTTCCAATATCAACAAAATGATGAATGCAGCACACTTCAAAGCAACAACACATAGGGGACATTCAATACTGCAGGACTTCATGTTTTTATTTGATCATGTTGTGATACACAAAACTCATATTAAAAAGGATCTAGTGTAGCTGTTAATGGGGTCAGTAGTGAAAGGATAATTAGGAGCAAAGACTGGTCAGACGTGTATGTTATTGATAACCCTTTTCCACTGAAAACCTTTTGTGAACTGGAACTGTGTTGTGCTTTTCCACTACAAAAGATGCTGCTGCTCTGAAATGCTCAGAACCGTGACATCAGAGGCCTGGGGGCAATGTTTGGTTTTTTTGTTTGTTTGTTTGTTTGTTTGTTTGTTTTTATTTGTTTGTTCTTGTTTTTTTTTTTTATTAACATGCTAACAGCTTGATCAACTCAAGGTAATTTACATAACTTCATTAAAATAAGATGTGGACACTTCCAGGGTTTAGGAAGAAACACACATTAAATGTGCAACTGCAACGTTCTGAATTGGAGATATAGTGTTAATACTCAAAAAATCTACTATAAGCACTTCCCCACTCAGAATAAAGAGTTAAAATTGTAAAAGCATCTATCCATAAGCATAATGTATGCTGGGGATCCACCATGTTTTGAAAGTATCTTTTGTCTAATAGGTTGTGGCAGAAACTGATCCAAGTTCTTTTTAAAAAAAAATCACTTAAACCATGTTCATGATGTTAGTTTTTTATTACATGGTGTAATAAAATGTCCTCTCTATAATAAAACTCTTGCATCCAGGTGGCTGTAAATTTACAGGTGCAAATAAGTTTCTAGCAGCATTCCTTTCCTGCGAACCCAGATCTCTGCATCACACTCAGCAATATGACTGCATTAATTTATAGAAATCTATTATAAAGTTACATAGTGATTGAGAATATTTATACTTCTAAAGAATCCATTATTCTGCCTGAAGTGTTTAAAAAGCTGGTGAGGGTGTAAATGTTAGTTAACATTTCTTTCTGGAAGCATTTCTTTTCTGTGTTGATGCATATCGCTCTTTAGAAACACATTTAGTGCCAAATGGCTTTACATGTCATTGTCTATGCAAGGGTTTTTTTCTACCATCATTCCTGTCCCCAGCACATTTTAAAACAAAGGTACACCCATGCTTGTATTTCTCAAGTTGCACATAATGAATGTCTATGCTAGAGGTCTGCTGTGTATACAGAAATGTGGGTAGATTCTTAAAAACATTTGGAAGTTTCCTGAATCAGCACCAGCTCCTGCACCAGGATCATCACTGTGTAGATGGAAAAGGGATATAATAGATTGAGTTATAGTATACTTCACCAGTTGATGCGCATACAAATGAAATAATCTAGTCTTTTTATTTCCATGAAAAGATTGGAAAAAGAAAAGCAACAAATATGCTTCGTCTGGCTGTAATTTGTAAACTGTGTGGTGTCAGTCACTTAGCATGTGGGCGGTGGTGGCTTAGTGAATAAGGCTCTAGGTTACTGAACAGAAGATTGAGGGTTCAAACCACAGTACTGCCAAGCTACAACTGGTGGGCCCTTGAGCAAGGCTCCTCACCTTCTCTCCTCTAGGGATGCTGTATCAAAGCTGATCCCTAGCTTCCCCTTTGCAAAGAAAAGAATTTCACTGTAATGTATATGTGACAAATATAGGCTCTCTTATTCTTAAAGGTGACTGTACGGTAATCAGAATGCTTCGATAATTACAAGAAACTCTTTTATACTTCAAGTCTTTCTTCTATCCAGTCTTAATTTATGACTTTTTATTTCTGGAAAGAGATGATGCCCTCTATTTAAAGACCCATGCAAATGTCATTCATTTTCTTGCTCTACTTTCCTATTAGACTCCTCCCTGTTTTACAAATCTCTTCTCATCCTTGCTGAAGTATAATTTTGGTTCCCTTTTAGCTTTTCTTGCAGGATATGCATCGACACTGAGACGTACTGAGCCTTTGTGGCTTTATAGTGGCCATTTGTTTTTCCTGCTTTCATGTTTTTATTTTATGAAGAAATACAATGTCCCAGACTAAAGCATTTCCTCATTGTTCCATATATATATGGAAACCTACTTTCCACTGCAATTGTTAAAATATTCCATTCCGTTCAAGATTGCAAAATACACCAAAGCTGCTGGCTTTGCCTCTTGATATTGTCTATATATATAATTTTCCCTTGTCTCCTCCAGGGAAAGGAAGATTCTTCAGGTTCCGCCTGCCTTCTCTGAACCTGTTAGGTTCCAGCAAACAGTCTCTGCCCCAGGAAGACCCTGACACAGTGATGGTGGACTCTCCGAAAGCCAGCAATGACTCTGTGCCCTTGAGGGACTTCCAGTCTCCGACTAAGGACAGCTGCTGTCCTGCTGATGCCAATGACACACAGGCCCTTATCAGCTCCAGTCCCCACTCATCCCCAATCAGTGTGTCCGGACCCCTCGACCACTCATCCCCTAAACAAATGTGGGACCGTCCAAGTCTGTCTCAGGCCCAGTCCACTACCTGCCTGGCGCAGTCCATCTCCAGAGACAGTGTGTGTAGCAGAAGACGAGCCTCATCCGTGCATGATATTGAAGGCCTCAGTTCCAACTCCAAACGCCTGTTGGGGGATCGGCATGCTAGTGAAGGTAAAGAAACCCACAGACATATTTCTTCTGTGCTGCAAGAAGGGTTGTGTTGCAAGACTTGTCTTGTGAGACATAGAGTTAGGACCCTGAACAGAAAGCCCTGTAATTGGCAAGTCAGTTAACATAAGACTCTGAACAATAATGTTCAAGTGTGCAGTTACAAAACAAAGTGAATATCACTTTACTCTTCTAGTTTTGTACATAATGTATGTATTCAGAAATGTAAAAAAAAAACATGTAAAAACATGAACTTTGTAAATATAACATGTGGAATTTCTATACTGTGTATCTGCATTAATTTTAGGCAGATGTGTCAGAGTACAAGGGACTTAATGTTGTTTGGGTGTGACATATTGGCAGCAGGAAAATCATTCATTTTCATTTCAAAACTGTCATTAATTTAGTCTACAAAATATTGATGGACTGCCCTGAAATATTGTTTTTCAGATAGTGGTTTACCTTTAGTGAAATAAAACTATAAAACTAACCCTAAACAGAACCTACTGGTAATCTGAACTTCAGCATTAATTTATCTGATCGCTGATCAATGTTCTCCTGCATTTCAGACCATGGCCGCAGTGTGAAAGGTAACCGTGTGTTATGATTGAATGCTTTACAGTCTTGGACTGATTGTTGCATGTTTTTAAAGGACAGTAATTGTCTGATTCCTCTATGTTCTATAACTCAAAACCTCAAAGCACCACAAATCTTCTTAGCATCTAGTATCAGATCCTGGTCTACTAGTGGATTTATAAGAAAGAGTTCTTCTTTGAAGTGTCAAGGGAGTCATTGCTTCTGCCTGATATCACTTCACAAAACATCAATCCTCAGGCGTATCCTTCATACAGTAATGACAAGACAGTATGTGGAATGATGAGGAGTCCCAGGGGTCTGGCTGTGGTCAGGCTGTGATTTAAAGTAAAGTGCAAGCGAAGTCTTGGTGTAGGTTTAACTCATAAATGAACATTTGCTCTTAGCCAGAATTGACTAGAAAAGCCCTTTCCTTCTCTCATTTCCTTGCATGAAACTGATGTGTCATTATGAGGTCTGATAGGAAATCAATCCTACATTTGAATGTTGTATATCTGCTCCTTGCAAATCTGTTGTCAGAACCATATATATCACTTTGAAGCATGTATGATGAAGCCTGTTTCTGACACTTTGTTGCGTAGTGTACCATTTCAGTCTTTTACACACTTCAAAATTATGTCATTATTTACTGGTGTATGCTTTGGTTCAAAGTACTGTTGAAAACATTCACTAGATATCAGCATGTACAGGAAAAGCATCTTTTAAGAGACCATACCCTTCTAATGAATTACATTTCAGTGCTTTTTAAGGGTGAGTCTAATTGCCATGCTCTTAACTAGTTTCTGCATCTTTTCATCATCAGGTCCTTTTAACCATCTCAAATCCAGCCTGCTGGGCTCTACCTCAGACTCCAACCTGAACAAGTACACTACAATTAACAAGATCCCCCTCATCGCACTTAACTTCTCTGAAACTAACAACGACAAACGAGTCCCCTCGCCTCCTGC